TTCTTCTCCCCCTTTTTTCTTTTCTCTTCTTTTCTTCTTCCTTTTTTTCGCTTCTGCGCTCTGATTCACAGTGTGACAATATATATATCGTCAAATAGAACTGCCCGGTAAACCGTAGTAGGCAGAGAGGAAGAAGAGGACAACAAACAAGGGGCTGTGGCAGTAATTCTATTTTCATTCGAGTTTTTCATCTTTTTTTTAAAAGAAACTGCATCCATTTTTGTTTTTGTTTTTTTTGCCCCTCCCAAAAGGGCGACGGCCTTTAGATATCATCATTGACCTGACCAGCCCCAGGCAAGTCAGAACGGTGGTTGTTGTTCTCTTCATCTGAAGGTATCTGGATTCGAACTTGGGTCTGATTCATATTTCAACAGTTCAGGGGGGGTTGTACCAACTGAGCTACCTTCCTTCCCCGGAATACAACGCACGGTCGTTATATCTGTATTTAGACTGAAAGATGGCCCAAATACAGCTGTAATGACCGTGCGTTATATTTGGGGGAAGAAGGTAGGCCCGTGGGTTCGTCTTACTTCTTCTTCTTATTATTACTGAAAAAAAAGCGGTAGAGGCCGGGAATCCTCAGCAAACAATCCGGGGCGAGGTCCCATTATTAGCAAGGAGGGATTGGATTTAACCCCTGAATGTGGACATTTTTGTGGAAAGATGCATAAGATCGCGATTGATCTGCTTTCTGCATTTCCGCTTAAATACCGTCCAGATTCAGGCGGTTAATGGAACCCTCTTTGCTGGTGGGACCTTACTCCCAGAACAATTACTTGAACCGTTACCCAGCCTCGGTGAAGAGCTGAGGAGTGGTTCCATAGGTGCAGAAATGGCCAATTTTCATTCGAGTTTTGCTTGCGTGTCTTTTTTTTTTTTTTTTTTTTTTTTGGAAATTCTCTGCGTGTCCTGTTTTTTCTTCTGCCTGGGAAGTAATTCCTTTTTGTTGTCTGTGCGGCCAGGTTCAACGAATAGAGGACAATGCAGAAGGCAAGTGGCGCGAAACATGTTGGGATGCCCAGAAAGACCCTGGGTAACCAAGACACAGTCTTTGATCACTCCGATCCACTCATAAAGGAGGTGGGAGCATGATCCATTCTCTCAGGGGCATACTCATACACACACTAGGACTTTTTGTACTCAGCTCTGGCCATAATTGCGGTCAGATGCATTCATCATCGGCCGTAATTGCAGTCAGATACATCCAGGAAAGTCCGGTAGTGTGAGTATGCCCTCAGTTTCTCTGCCCCCAATGCTGCTTTTCTCATCTCTCTCTCTCTCTCTCTCTCTCTCTCTCTCTCTCTCTCTC